GTACCTCCTAGCCCCTCACACCGGTACCTCCTAGGCCCTCACACCGGTACCTCCTAGCCCCTCACACCGGTACCTCCTAGCCCCTCACACCGGTACCTCCTAGCCCCTCGCACCGGTACCTCCTAGCCCCTCGCACCGGTACCTCCTAGCCCCTACCATCGGTACCTCCTAGCCCCTACCATCAGTACCTCCTAGCCCCTCTAAGCCCACAGACTCACTGTTAGATCTCTCCCCTTATCACTGGGGGTGGTTTGGGAGAGGGAGGCGGTGGTGGAGGAGGGAGGAGAAGTGTGGCGAGGGAGGGGGTGCTAAGTAAACTACAGCTCCCCCTGCTGGCAGAAGTAATTGGGGGAGCATCCCTGGGTCAGAGCGAGCAATTGGAGGGGGTGTGGGGGGGGAGGGGGGCTGTCATGTGGGCAACATGCACAGAGAAAGGGGTGTGGGGGGGGGGGGGGGGGGGGGGGGGTGACGGGGTTGGGGGGGTGCGGGCGTAGGTGGCACGTCCCCAGGGGTGCGCTACTAACCGTCACGCTGTAGCGCCAACTCTGACAGGCCACAGGGAGCGCTGGGGAGTGGGAAGGGGGGGGGGGGGGGGGGGGGGGGGGGGGGGCGGCGGCGGTGGGGCTGGTGGTGGTTGGAGGATCGAGCCTGTCAGCTGTACCAGCAAGGCAGAGCAGTGGCGAAGCCCTCCACTGGGACTGTATTACTGAAGGCTTTTCTTCTCTGCCTCTGTTTTATTTCTTATTTTTTTTATTTTTTTTCGGATGTGGAGGGCCAGGGTTTGTGAGCCTGTGTGTGTGTGTGTGTGTGTGTGTGTGTTATGTGTGTGGAAGTGCGTCAAGCGGGTGCGAGGTGGGGGGGGGGGGGGGGTGGGGGGGGCGGGCGGGGGTTGTGGTGGTGCAGCGGGGTGGGGAGGGTGTTGCGGGGTATAATTGAGAGCACAGAGGGAGCTTCGTCTCTCCATCTTATGATTTGGAGGTGAAGACAAGCGCCCGCGGGGGCCCCCTGTCAGAGGGTTTTGGGCGCGCTCAGTGCAGACTTCAATAAAAACACACAGAAGAAGAATTCCCCCACAAGGGCGCCTGGCTGAATTGCTGACGCCGATGTAAAAAAGAATCCGTTTTCTGTGAATCATTTAGTGCGCGACCCAAGCTTTCCTTGGCGCAACGTGACAATAGCAGGAAGGAACCCCCCCCCCCCCCCCCCCCACAAACCACCAGCAGCAGCAACAACAGCAGCAGCAAGCCCCCAGTCACTTTTTAGTAAGTTCGGGAAACACAACAAACCCGGAGAATGCCGAATTATATTTTCACAACTGCCGGTTCACACATCGATCACCTCCTGCCGTCGTCTCCCTTCTCTCCCGAACTCCCCTCCTCCTCCTCTTCTCCCCTCGCGCTGGCTTCCTGTCATGACAAATGTCAAGCCTCGTCGGTTAAGAATGTGTTTTTTTGTTTGTTTGTTTCTCTTTTTTTTCTCCCCTTTATTTATTTGTTTTTTTAATATTTGTTTTTTCGTTTGGGTGGGCGTGCGAGCGTGTGTGTGTGTGTGTGTGTGTGTGTTGTGTGTGTGGGAAAGTGTGTGTGAGCGAGCGTTTGTGTCTGTCTCAGTGTGTGTGTGTGCGTGTGTGTGTGTTGTGTGTGTGTGGGCAAGTGTGTGTGTGTGAGCGAGCGTGTGTGTCTGTCTGAGTGTGTGTGTGGGCAAGTGTGTGTGTGTGTTGTGTTTGTGTGGGCAAGTATGTGTGTGGGCAAGTGTGTGTGTTGTGTGTGTGTGGGCAAGTGTGTGTGTGTGTGTGTGTGTGTGTGTGTGAGCGAGTGTGTGTCTGTCTGAGTGTGTGTTGTGTGTGTGGGCAAGTGTGTGTGTGTGTGTGTGTGTGTGTGTCGCTGCTGCGGAAGCACCATGTCGAGGCTCCAGCGTCAGATATTTCTGTGAAAGTAACAGAAATGTTTGAAGGTGTTGTCACAAGCTCACAGCCTCTCGCGGTTTTGTGCGCGCCACTGGGAAACGGCATGTTCTCCGAACCCCCGCCTGTTTCGTTTCTTTTTTCATGCGTCTCCTCCCTCCTTATCGCTGATTTTCCTTCTTTCTTATTTTTATTTTTTTTTAAGGAAAAATGTATTGCGTCGTTACGTTGTGCACCAGGATCGCGTCAGCGTGAGTGTCTGGGGTAGATGCTGAGTTAGTGGAGGGGGGGGGGATGATAGGGTGGGGGGGGGGGGGGGGGTGGGGCGGTTGGGAGAGGTGGGGCGGTTGACAGAACGGGTCGGCGTCATTGCCGAGTTAAAATTAGAGAAATCTTTTTATTTAATTTTTTTTTTTTTTTCCCCGCCATGACTCGGGGACGTGTCATCTTGCGGCAGCGGCGGGGGGTCTGTCAGTCATCGGCGCGCTGCGTTTTAATCATCGCCGTCCCACTCGCAGAGCCGCTGACGGATAGAGTGAGGGTTCCCTCCCCTGGACAATACGAGGACGAGGAGAAACATCTCATATAGATACGCTCTGATGTCACGCCTAGCAACACTGGTTGAGGTTGAAACATCAGCCGGGTGTTTTTTTTTTTTTTTTACACTTCCTCAAGTTAATCCTTAGAAATCCAATGGGGGAATCAGGCGACATCTGCCAGCGGTTTTTTTGAAGACGTATCACAAGTCCGTTTGAAGTTTTTCTTTTTTTTGGGGGGGTGGGGGGGGGGGCGGGTTTCCGTGATCTTTCAAAATATGTGACAGCTGGAAGGAGATTGGCAACAAAATAGGACATTTCTTGTCACTGTAATAAGAAAAAGGCGCTTGTAGAATAATCAAAACCCTCGACATTTTAGCAGCTTAATGAGAGAGGGCCACCCCCAAGCGAGCAATAACAATGCTGTTTTGTAATTCTATAGCCTTTTTAATAATACTCCAAGGAGGATTAAGTAGACAGCCTTCCTTTGTAGGTTAGATGGCAGATTATATTTACCATAATGCAGCAGTCACAACTGGCTAGTGTCTATGCACTGTAAAACGATGACAGTAGAAAGTACTCACGACAACTTAGTTGTTGTGGATGGGGACTGATTCGATGACTATTAGAAGATCTGTTGATTAATTGTTAGACTTCTAAATGACAACCGAAGCCTGTTGACAGGTATACATGATGTCAAATCAACAAAATACCGGCTAAGACGAGATGTTTTTGTTTTAAGTTTGCTTCAAATATTTCCGAAGGAGATTGCCAGGGTGTGTGTTGCTTCAGCCGTCGCTATGATATTGAAATACAAAACGTCCCCTCAACTTTGACACACACCAACCCACAAGGAAATAAAGTTCAACCGAGTTTCATTGAGGCAAAGGCTTTCATTTGGTGGGAACAATGGTCGCACGCAGTCGGCAAGTAACTCCCTCACGTGACCCTTGACCCCGCGTTGAGTTGCGGGTACCTCCCTCTCCTCTAACCTCAGCCTCCAGTCTGAGCTTTCTCCCTGGCCGGCCGTCTCCCGAGACCCCGCCTCTCATTTCCACCAGTGTCTTCAGATGCTCTTAATAGACAAGTAGTCTCTCTCCACACCACGAGAGCTCTGGCTGGAAACACCGCTCAGGGTATATCTGGGATAAGTAGCTATTTCCCCTCTCTCTCTCTCTATCTCTCTCTCTCTCTCTCTCTCTCTCTCTCTCTCTCTCTCTCACTCTCTCGCTCTCTCATGTCTCAGGGCCATCTTAGGCTGGTTACGGGTAGAAATTAATCGAAGTGAGCAGACAGTTGCGGACACTAGAGGGGGTGATGGGTAATGGAGGGAGGTGGAGGAGAGTGTGTGTGTGTGTGTGTGTGTGTGTGTGTGTATCTGGTGGAGGAGAGGGAGGGAGAGACCCTGTATACACTGAGCTCTTCAGGCCACCTACTGAACTCAGGTCTGTTGTGAAGTTTTGTCACTACAGAGTTGTTGATTCACATCGATGGAGTCACCATTCAAAATGGTTTCGAATGCATTCAAGGTGTTATCCCTATTCATAATATATACATGTTTCATGTGCCATACAGTGAAAAATATATTCTGCATTCTGTAATACTCTCAAGAATTGTTATATTTCTATATTGGCGGCTGGGACTTTTGTTTAATATTTACATCTTAGGGCTTAAACACAGACTCTTCCTGTGCGACTTGCCATGGCGAATTGAGCTTTAAACACAAGCGCTTCAGAAAAATATTCACGCTTGCCCCAGAGCAATTAGTCCGGCCGCCCTGGCTTTGTCCACCTTCCCATTGTGTTCTTTATAGGGGCAAAAAAAAAGAAAGAAAGTAATTCTCTCCCACCTCCACCGAGAGGCCCTTTGGAAAACCTGGGCTGCGAGCTGAAGCCGCGGTTGGTTTTAAGTGTAATGAAATGTATGTCATGTCTCCAGCTCTGCCCCCCTGGCTTCCGCTCTCCCCGCCTCCCACCCCCCCCCCCCGCCCCCCCCCCCCCCCCCCCCCCCCCCCCCCCCCCCCCCCCCCCCCCCCCCCCCCCCTCTGGCCCCCTCGGCCCCCTTCTTGAACCCCTCCCTGGAAGCACTGGCTTTTGACAGGAAGCCCTCTGTGGCTTCCTCTGCAGTGATCTCTAGCCCCTCAAGGTCCCGTCCGCTGGCCCAGGACGTCTCTGTGATTTGAGGGTGAATTCAACCGTTCACACGCACGCGCGCACAGGCACGCGCGCGCACACACACGCGTGCGCACACACACACACACGCACATTCATGCCTCAGAGCGTCAACAAGCGAGCAACACAATAGACAGATAAGATGGAATGCGTGCCCCAGACCTACTCTGCACCCTCCCTGTGGGGAGTCAAGTTGTTTTGCTCTAAACCACAGGAAAGGGGCTTCATTGATTCACCATATTTACATATCGTTTCAGTTTTTTACTTCTACGAAAAACCTTAAAAGCAATTCACAGAGGCGGCCCCGCGGAACTCGGTATAGTCACGACGACCGATCCGATTGCCGGACTTTTTTTTTAAAATCCGGGGCATTTCTTGAGCGCGGCGTGGTGTGTGGCGCTATCCACGTGGGACTTGAACTCCTAACCCCCGGCAATGTTAATGCCATGCTCTACCAATTGAGCTACACGGGACCGAATTTCCTACCCCCAAAAACCTTACACGTACATGAAAGGTAGCCCCTTTTTTTTTTTTTGTGCTTGTGTTCCTTTTTCTTGTTGATGTTGGCAACCGCCGCAGCGGGGAGTCCTTCAGGCCTGTTCCGTTCCTGGTGTCCAGTGTCCGCCGGATACCGTGTACCCCAGCACGCCGCCGAGGCCCGGTCGCGGTGACGGCGTTATAAACACGCTCCGCAGTGACCTCTTGCGATTGGATCTCGGCCTCCCCCCTCCCCCCTACCCTACATCACTTCCGCATTGTTGCCATAGCGCCTGGCTAAATACTAAACCGAATCCAGATGTCGGTCATTGTTTGCAGTTGCGCGGCAATGTAAACGTTTTACTCTGTTTGAAAAAGTAATAATAAAATCAACCCCGTATGATGTCAGGGGTGACGAGTGTGTCGTGGAATGCGGTCGGTCATCGCCATGTAGCGTTCGAACTACAGTGTTTATACGCCCCCCCCCCCACCCACCTCCTGGATTTTGTATTGTTTGTCAACCAGTTGGATCGCTAAGTGTGTCCTGGAAGCGCTCACACACTTATATTTCCAGCGGTCGAGTTGCGATTGCATCACCCAAGATATACGTTTTAATGCTAAATGTGAACAAGCCTTTGAAGTAACGGCCAACAACAAATCCACTGAATCTAATCAGATGGAGAAGATGCAGTAAAAATCTCAACACCTATTGACTTTCTTCCATCCGTTTCTGTGATCTGTCTATTTATCATATATTCAATATTTATGTTGAAGAGATCAAATAGATCATACGGGGAGCTTTGCGCGCGCTTGTGTGTGTGTGTGTGTGTGTGCGTGCGTGCGTGCGTGCGTGTGACTTCTGCACAATTTCCATGTGTTTAATTGTGATTGCGTGCATTGTCTGCATGCATGTACGCGCACGTACGCGCATGAACGCATGGACATCGCAGCTTCAAAAGAGTGTCGACTATATTAGGTAGCATCTGTGAGGGGTGTCTCAGTGTGTGTGCACATGCGCGGCTGTGTGTGTGTGTGGGTGTGGGTGTGTGTGTGTGTGTGTGTGTGTGTGTAGTGCTGTGCACCAGCAGGGTGCGCCATTCCAATTTACCCATCAGCCCGTGAGGCAGGGGGTAAAAAGCGCGGGGCATCGCTGTGGGAGATTTCACATTCGAGGGACGAGGTTAGCTGTCGGGGGGCCCCAGCGAGGAGGTGATGAGGGAGGGGGACTGCCAGGACACAGCATGAGGGGAGTAAAGGGGGGAGAGCGGGGGCTGAGGGAGAGGCTGGAGTGGGGGGAGCGCCACCCTTGGATCCATGGGCCCTCTGTTTTCTGGGGAGCCTGGCTGCCAAGTTGCACATCTGTTTGACACCAGGCACTGTGGGGTCCAGTCTGGCCTGATCCAGTCTCTCTCTCTCTCTCTCTCTCTCTCTCTCTCTCTCTCTCTCTCTCTCTCTCTCTCTCTCTCTCTCGCTCTGTCTCTCTCTATCTCCTTTCCCTTCCTCCCTTTCTTCCTCCCTTACTCCCGTGTACACATATGTGCATGTACTCATGGCCGCTCTTTTTCTAACAGCGTGGATAGAAAACTGTTGATGTAAATCACGGCGCGTAGGGATGGGGGGGTGGTGGGCGGGGTGGAGTAAGGGGGGAGTAAGCGGGGGTGGGTTGGGGGGGGGGGGCGGTACTGGATACAGTGTAGGAAACGCCGTTGTCGTCTAAAACTCCCTCAGCTTGTGTTTGAGTGTCGGCCAAGTCCGCCATGGCGGGTTCCAGGGGCCCGGGGCCTGTTGGGAAGACGGGACATTCCACACAGCATAACTCATTCCTAACACCCTCACCGCTGCCATTAGTTAATTATATGCAGGTGTTTTCCTTTGGCAGGTTTCTGTTTCTCTCTCCCCCCCCACCCCACTCCACCCCCCCCCCCCCCCCCCCCCCCCCCGCCGCCCCCCCTCTCGTATTTTTCTTTCTTTCTTCCTTCCTTCCTTTCTTTCTTTCTTTCTTTCTTTCCTTTCTGTTGTTTTTTTTTGTGCTGTAGATGTAATAAAAATGTAACCATAAGTACATAAAGGGAGACAGGAGAGGAGGGGTATGGGGGGGGGACGTAACACAAAAAAAAAAAGTGGGGTGAGCTGGGGGTGTGTGTGTGTGTGTGTGTGTGTTGGGGGGGGGGGGGGGCTAGTGTAGAGGAGGAAGTGGCTGAATGTGCTGTGTGAAGCAAATTACGGCCCCCCATGTAGATTCATCAGCCCTCCCCGTTGGATTAAGGAAGGGCCCTTCTAATGAAGTTCGCCCCGTCAAAATGAAGGGACTAATTCTGATTTAGCTGAGGTAATGAACTTCCCCTCTCCTGGTGAGAGCAGCACCATGGGGCGAGACAAGGGGGCGGGAGGGGAGGGGAGGAGGCTGGGGAGGGAAGGGGGGGTACGGCAGAGTGGCACGGAGAGAGAGAGAGAGAGAGCGAGAGAGAGACGGAGGGAGAGAGAGGGGGAGGTAGTAGTGTCAGGAGAGGACATAGCGAGATAGCGGGAGAAAGAGGAAAAGAGGAACGTGGAAGACAAGAGGAACCAAAGGAAGGAGGGGGAAAAAAAAGGAATTTATGCAAAACGTCTGTCTCGTATTTGCTGAGATGTATTAAATTTCCAGCGCGAGCGCTTGTGTTATATAAAATTATGCTAATGTCTCGCGGCCCGCTGCGAACGGCGGCTTGCTGGTCCCGAGCATGCGTGGCTGGCCGCTACACGGAGCGCGCTCAGTGGGACTCGCCTTTTCTATTAACGAAAACCTCTAGACACCTGATGATGAATTCTCTCTCACCAAATGTTCCCCCCCCCCCACCACCTCCCGCTCTCTTTTTTTTCCTCTTTTTTTTTTGGTGTGTGTCGAATATGAGCGCTTTTCAAAATGACTTTGGAGAGCCCGGCATGGTGCTCTGCGGCCCCTGCGTCGCACGGAGGGGGTGAGGGGTGGTAGGCGGGAGGGTATTGGTGGTGTAGGTGGGGGGGGGGGGGGGGGGGGGGGGAGAGGGGGGGGGGGAGTGGATGGTCCCTTTACACCCGGCTAAGGGAGTCAATTAAGCCAGGCACTGATAATTATAAGCCGGCAGAACGCAGGGGCTGGCTAATTGTACAGTGTTCCATGCCGCGAGCCCAGCCAAGGGGCCTCTCTCTCTTTCCCTCCCTCCCTCCCTCTCTCTCTCTCTTTCCCTCCCTCCCTCCCTCTCTCTCTCTGTCCCTTTTTCTATCTCTCTCTGCTCCTTTGTGTGGACCACGGACCCCATGGAGCCTCATACCTCAGCCTGACAATGGTGCAATGAGACTGGCAGAGAAAGCCGCACATGTGCCCGTAATTAACTTTTCTTTAACGTAGGGGCCACTAACTCTTCAGAGGGCTGAAAGAGATCCCCAGCTAGATCCCCCCACCACCACCTATTCCTAAATGTTTATTTTCCTCTCGTACTCGACGGGGTTATTTCCTGTATTATTATTATTTCCGTTTCTCTTTTTCCCGTTTTTGTTTTTTTTTTCCTCTTTTTTAATCTGTTTTTTTTTGTGGTTCGTACTTTTTTCGACAGTAACTTTCAACAAGCGAGTCTCTCTTGGACACTCCAAACACAACACTCAGGGTGTGTAGTCATTTGACCTTTATTTCTTTCGAATGGGAGGAGTGGAAGAAAAAAGGAAGCCCGGCCAGTTTAGAATAGGCATGGATGGAGTAAATTAGAGCAGTTCACCGCAGAATAGTGTATCTCTGGCTGCAGGGGGTCCGGCGTGCCCATGCAATCCATCTCAGCAGCCTGCAATGTTTGTCCCCAACGGACCTCCGTACCTGCCTGCAGCTGCAGCGCCTACACATCATTCGTTAACAAGTATTCAGCTCGCTCTCTCCTGCCCCCCCCTCTCTCTCTCCCTCTCTCTCCCTCTCTCACTCTCTCTCACTCTCTCCCTCTCTCTCTCCATCTCTCTCTCTCTCCCTCTTTCTCTCTCCCTCTCTCTGTTTTGTTGTAGTGGATTTTCTTTCTCTCTTTTTCTGGCCCCTGTGACCTACACAGTGCTCACTTGACCGCACTCTAACCATTGTGTGTTCAGTGTTTGCTCTACGATTTTTTTCCAGCAGCGGTGCTGAGGTGTGTGTGTGAGGGGCACTATGTTGATGTGCGCGTGCACGGTGCTGATGTGTGCGGGGGGCGCAGGGAGGTTTTAGTGTGGTCACTGATTCCAGTAGGGCTCTAGTGCATTCCTATGGGGGCATTATTATATTGTACTAGAACTATTTACAAATGTGAGTGGAAAGTTGTGTAACTGTATCTCAATATGTGTTTGGGTACAAATCTGATTTGTAAATGTGTAAAAGAATCTCTAAATGCTTACTGAGATTTGTGACTGTGTACAGGAATCTGCAAATTGGTATTCAGAATCCATGTGCGTCATCAGATTTGTAAATGTTTAAGATATAGATCTGTAAATGTGTAGACAAATCTGTAAATGTGTACATAGATATTAATGGCTGAGTAGTATTTTGCTCCAAGAGTTGGAAATACACATGACTTTTGTTACACTTCTGCCATGGCAGAGATCTGCAAATGCGTGTGGCATTTTACAAATTTGTGTGGAGATTTGTCTGTGCACCATAGTAACTATACAGCCTACATACCACCGGTCAGTGGTAGCACCTAGTGATGCAGCGAAACAGAGTCGTCAACTGCCCTCAAGGTTGAATAATTAATTTCTTCTACTTACGGTAACGGTAAAGGTATGTAGAAGAAATTAATTATTCAACCTTGCATGCAGTTGACCACTCTGTTTTTATTTTTCGCAACACAGTTAACGCTCTTGCCCACAGTTACCGGCTCATGTGACACATTTACAAATCTGATCATGCGCACACGGATTTAGAAAATTATACAAGTCACATTTGTAAATTGTTCTGCTACAATAATGCCTCCGTACATACCAACAGAAATGGTCTCATACAATGGTATAACATACTATGAA